AGAAGCAGGGAAACAACATAGGCATGAAAGAGAAACAAACATACGAAGAAACAGTAAGAAGGCTTAGTGCCCACTTCAGAGTCAATCAAGGCAAGATGCAGCAAAATTATGCGTTATCAAATACACCTTCTATCCGAGTAATACCTGCAGGCTTCCTACAAGACCTACCCTCCCTTCAATGACCAACACTCTTCTTCAGGACACAGTATTTGGGTAGCACTTCGGAAGGGGGGGCATGGAGAGCTGCTTGCACAAAAAGAGCGGATCTGGTGGGCACTGTGCTGCATAAGTGTAGTCAGCCCTGGTGAATCTTACCTCAAGTCGTGACCACTGACCCGTAGCCTGGCACGTCACTCGTACTAAGCATGTTTACACTGATTAAGCTTTTGCAATTGTAATTTTACTAAGCATGCTTACACTGATTAAGCTTTTGCAATTGTACAGTTTAGACTGTAGACGGCACTAGTCAAGCTCTTCAGGCTATTCAATAGCTATTGGTTTCCTCATCATTTATGACACCAAACTTTGGCACGCCAAAGAAGGGTCTTATAAAAAGAAAACCAATATCGATGGGATTTCCAATTTTGGCGAAAATGAAGTCCGATTTAGCTCATTCGTAGCCGTTTGACCCGCTGTAAACTCTAGAAAAAATGTCAATTCGGAGTCCCAAAAAGCTTTCGACCTTGGGTTTGCAGAATTGGAATGAACATCGCAAACAAAGCGTGAATGTGATTGGTTGGTACTTGTGACGACTATAAAAGCATATGTTCAATAATAGCGGTAATTTATTTTGCATTAGCTTGTATTTTCAATTATTTATTTTCCGTTAGCTCCGGATTAATCCATTACCTAATATATGTAAGCAAGATACACGTAAGTGCGATTATATTATATTTACGGAACCTTTGGAGTTGAGAATATCATCTACTGTATCGAACTGCTTGTCCCGTCGACCGCGAGCAGTATGTATCCGCGGTAGATTATGTTTGAGGTCCCGGCCGGGTAGAGTGAGGCATGGGATCTACAAATGGAACGGTGAGCAACTATGAGCGGGGTCTGAGCTTTGGTCAGAGCTGGGTTTCAGGTAGCTGCCATCCGTTGTGAAACCACTTAAATGTGGCGAGTGTGCAGGGAAGATAAGATGCCGGCATCCTAATCCAAACTGTAGCCGCTACGCACTCTGTAGCCACTACGCACTTTCGATCGGGCAGGGCTCTCAGTTTGCCACTTCCAACCTTCCTCTTCCTACTCAGCAACTGCGCTGGACCATGTCCTCTACTGATCGAAGCCTGCATCCCGCCGCTGTGCATAGCCTGTCTCCTCAAACCCAAGCTACTCGCCCAGTAAGAGCTCCTCCTGGTAAAAACATGATCTTCAAAACAACACAAGTTGCTCGTTCCCCACCAGCCTTGGTAGTAGCTCACTTCGCTGCTGTGCGTAGTGATCGCTTTGCTACAATCATCAATCTGGGTGGGTACCAGTACACTCGCGCTTGGTCATCGCGCCGAAAGATTGTATACCTATGCAGTTATTACCGTGGTAGACAGTGCAATGGTAAAGTTGAGCTCCGTGCAAATACAATGGAGCTTACAAATTTCGTTTCATATACATGCCGTGCAGAAGCTGTAGTCGCTAACGACCCGGTGGATATAGTGAGGGAAGTGCAAGTCGCTGTCGATGAACTGGCCCGCAATCAAATTGCGCTGTCTGTTACGCAGGCCTCGGACAATACAATACGAAATTGTACTGCAAGACATCGAGTCCCATAATAATAACGGGAATATGATGAAGTACAATAATAATAACGGGGCCAATATAAGTATATTGTGGCCTCTAACTACCAAGTCTTCCTACTCATTAGCGACGAGCGAAGTCGCGTTCCACATGTCGCAGTTCACGCGAAGAAATGCTAACATCTCAAAGTTTGCAGAAAGTATGCATGACCGCTGAGGCGTCAGAATGAGCTTGCACTGCAAAAACAGTCTTTCAACTGTGTTCGAGGTGGGCGGCACCACCTTTGCCAGCTCATGAAAGCTCACACCCGCAGCACCAGCCGCTCGCATCTGCTTCCCCCCTCGTAGAATTGCGCTGGCGTAATCGCTCGTCGAGCGCTCCTTCCTCTTACCAGTTGCAGCATCTGGCTCCACCACCAATCGCTGGACTGCGCGCGACTCAGACGCAGTGAGCTTCGCATTGTTGCAAATCTTGACCAAAGCTGCCTCAAAGGCCGGCGCATGGACGATCTTCGCCGCCGGACGCAGATGGCTCGCCATAACTGGGTAGTCGTCAACAACCTGGTCAAACAAAACACGCACGTCCGCCATGCTGGTGTCCTCGCGCTGGAGTGTCTTGCAGACACTATCGAGTTTCTTGAGGTGCTCTAGCAGGTTTGCTGCTTGCGGTAAGAACCGCAAAGCTGACAGCGGAAGTCGCCTTGGCCCTTGTCTTCGTAGAAGAATGCGCAGATATCACGGTTCGGAGCCATCGTGGTCAAATGAAAAGTGAGGGAGTGCTGTGAGGCTTCGGCTCGTTCTCGTGTCTGTGCCTGCCAGCCAACCACTTGAACGATTGGCGCGAAGAGCTAGTTGCCTCTAACATATTGGTATAAACCGGTATTGTACTGATATTATTGGATCAATATCATATTATATTGACTTTGGACAGATCCAATAATAATAATTGTAGCCGGATAATACAGTAATTACGGGATTGATATTATTTTTTCCCACCCCTGCTGTTACGACTATTTGGTCTCAAATAGAGGAACAATTCTACGGGGGAGGTCAAATGCAAGTCCTTGTCGGACTATCGCGCGAGCAAGTGCTAAGTCGTGTGTATCGTAAACGCAACCGTCATTTTGGCGGCAACATTCACGGACGAATTGAGCTTCCACCTCTTTCTCGCGTTCAAGACCAACCGCAAAACGTTTTTAGTTTTACTATATTAGTGGCATTTTGATGACAGCGGCAATCCCAGTAGAATCATCGGCTGGGCTCATCCAGAGCTGATTGCTTTGCTAAAGTACTCGGGAACAACGATTTTGCTTGACGGCACACTTACATGTGTGCCCCGTGAGTTTCGCCAATATGTGGTACTTGTGGTGCACGATCGCTCTACGGGGTATTATTGTCCTGTCTTTTACGTGTTAGCTACACGACAAACAATGGATTCGTATTATGATTTTCTACATTTCATCATGCAAGCTACTGACCAGCAATTGGAACCTAGGGAGGTAGTATGCGATTTTGAGAGGGCTTTAATTGACACAATTGGAGTGCAAGATCCTGTAGCAGACATCATCGGCTGCCTGTTCCATTTCAAACAGGCACTTCGTCGTAAAATCCGTAAGCTTGGTATTCAAACAGGGCTGCAACAATCGCTATGACACCCGGGGTACTGGATATGCTCACAGTAGTGCCAGAAGCACAAAGCGAGATTGGAGGTATTACCTGGGTCATACGCCAAATTAAAGACAGCTAACGTTGCGTACGCTCGATTAAAAGAGCGAGCATTTTGGTCCTACTTCAAAAGCACTTGGCTTAATATGTGCAAGACTGACTTGTGGAATGTACATGGGATGATGAGCGGCTAGTTGCACGGACTTACAATCCTTTAAAAAGATTTAACCGAGCATTAAACAGAGCGTTTGTAACTCCGCATCCGAGTCTTACGACCTTTGTGGCCACCATTGAGGCTTTGGCTAGAGGCCACGTTGCTGGTATTGCTACCATTCGTGGTTGTCGCGCTCGCGGATGCCCTCGCGAGTCAATCCAGCTACCGCAACCGGTTGAACTTCCTGTTGAAGAAGATATCTCAAGTGGAGATAAAGACGATGTTTATGACGGCGCATCCAGTGAAGGTGGAGTGGACGGTACCGTCTGCGATGACGACGACGAGGCTGGAAATGGCGGCGACGACGATATGACAGGCGAGTAGGACAGCTAGAAAACGACATATGCTCTAGTAACAATGCACTTCGCAGGGATGCACCTAATATTCTACACTTAATCCAAATTGCATTTACAAAAGGCACGGCATTTGGTAGGGCCTGCATTAGCGGTCTGGTTCTCCATCTGACCTGACAATCAGGCAATACCCAATTACGACCCAATAATAAGCTTACCGTATCCGCACGTCCGTCGATGCTGGATGATTGTGAGTCCGACTCCCGTCCCGTGTAGGAAGGCAGATCTATACTTTCGCCTACATGTATCCTCCGGGGGGAGGGGGGGCGGATCAAAACGTATGGGCTGGATAATAAAAACTATAGCTGCTGATAAGAATGACACTTTCTCGGCCATGACGAATAGTGCACGCGTGTTGTCGATGCCCGCCTCGTGAGTTGAGTGCTCGTCGCTCAGATCCATTCCGTTTTTGTTCCTCTGCAAGCTACGTAAATCCGCATCGCTGTACAACTCCGTGCTGAAAATCGCCATGTCTCCGATTAGGAAAAGATGCGCGTATGGTGCATCGTCAAAGTTTGTGGAATACTGAAAGTAAATGAAAGGTGTCGACTAAATGTACTCATATTATGATCTAACCGTCACCAGTCTGTAATATCTTAGCTTGGCCAACTTCTGGATTTTTTAACTCGACGTAGCCTTCGGCTCTAGCGCATGCTCCCCATCTCACAATTTGTCTGACCATTATCAGGATACTATTACAGTACTTAAAGGTTTCGTGTAGCACCATCGCGAAATACACAAGATGGTACAGTACGTGTTATCGAGTCGATGTCTGGTCAGTAATTTTGTGGCATATAACTTCAAAATCTTGACATACATGTAGCGAGAGAACGGAAGCCAATCCTCGATGAGCTCGATGACCCTCCAAAAAAACATAACTATTAATAGCACGTCCCGTGTACTATATGTCTATTTTTACTGTGATCCTTGAGCTCGTCTAAGAAACACCCATGCGAACAGATTATTTAGAGCAGTTCACGTTTCCATGCAAGACTACACCTTTTTTTTTTCTCTTTTAGATTGCTCATTCCAAGTCTACACTCCAGCAAGAAGCGGCCGTCTTTGCTGCACACGCGGCTTGTCAACCTGGCGTAGCAGTTTAAAGATACCTGTGCCGAGAGGAATCGGAATACCCATGATAATACACTCGCTGACCCCTACAATAGCGTCCGTGCGCGAGTGGACTGCAGCGTCGAAGAGATGGTCTGTGGTCTTCTCGAACGACGCCAGCATGAGCACACTCTCCTTCATCTTGGCGATACCGAAGCGTGTGATACCCAGCACCTCGCCCTTGAACGTCATGATATCCGACAGCAGCATCAAGTGGCGTCTGTCGATACCGATACCATACGCACTCATGATGTAGTTGACCTCGGAGCTGATGAGTTCACGCGCAGCCTCGATCCCGAGCGTCTTCTCCACTTCGATAATGTGGTTCGAGGTGGTGTGAAGTCCGTCCACACCTGGGATGCCCATGACTTCAGCAAGACCGTAGCCCTCTACGAGCAAGTGCAGCGACTTGGCAGCACTCGAGTCCTGGACTTCTTCGTAGTTGATCACTGCGCGGTTCACTGTCGGGATACCCTGCACAATCACGCCAGGAAGTTCGGCCTTGAGCGCCTGTAGAGCAAAGTAGGCACCACGTGTTTCTCCCTTGGCGCCCTTGTAGTTCGGTGGCGCTAGCAGACGGAGTTTATCGGGACAGCGAGCGTTCAGCAGCACATGCTGCTCCTTCAATAGACGCAGCACAGCACGAGGACCGACACCCACGGCATTCAAGATACTGTTGCGCACAGAGCGCGCCGTGATGTTCAGATGGAGCTGCTCGATCGCAGTCAAGTCCAACTTGACCGACAGATAGGCCTGATCACGCGCAAAGACTTCCTTGATGTGGACTGCGATCTCTCCCAGCGTCGTCTTCTCGATGCGGCCCTTGACAATACGCGCCGATCGCTCGTCCGTCTTGCACACCAACGCAGCTGTGATAATAGGCGTACTGATGATCTTGGACGCGTTAATAATCTCCTTCAGACGCGGCACACCGAGCGTCACGTTCATACTAGCAACGCCAGCAAAGTGGAACGTCTTCAGCGTCATCTGCGTACCAGGCTCCGAGATCGACTGGGCGCCAACAGCACCCACAGCTTCACCCGGCTCCATACCAGCGCGGTTGTACTTGTACAGAGAGATCTCCAGCAGCTTCTCCACCTGTTTAGTCGTGATACGACACACATTGTGCGATAAAAGCCACGCAGCCTCCTCCTTCTCCTTGGTGCCGTCCTCAGCGGCACGCTTGGTCCACTCCGCACGAGACTTGGCAGTCTTAAAGCGCGTGCGCTCCCACTCCGGCAGACCCACTTTATCCAAACCTTTCTGCTTGTACGTAGCCACGTCCAGACCCAAGTCTCCGTCCGAATCCTCCGTATCCCCATCCGAGTCCTCAGGCTTCGCAAGACGACGACGACCATGAGGCTTCGTCAGCTTCTCCAGTTTCGTCGAGATTTGGATTTTCTTCTCCTTATTCGTGTCTCCAGTCTGCGTCTTGGTCTTCAGCACACTGGCCGCTTCGTCGTCATCGAACGCCTTCTCCAACTTGGAAGCGTACGTCTTCACTTCGGTATCCATCGACTCAATGCCACAACTCGTGCGATTGGCCGCGATCTCACTCGCAACGGAGCCTAAGAACTCTTCAATCTCGATCAGAAACTTGCGTCCAGTCGGTAAGATCGCTTGGAACTGAGAGCGCTGAACGACTTGCTTGCCCAAGCGACGAAGCTCGAACGGCAGCAGCGCCGGCGACTCGTGATCAGGCAACGTATTGCGAATATGTTCCAGAAGACGGTGGAAGTCCACAGGTCGGTCGTCGCCTTCCATGTACGCCGGGTTCAGACCATCGTCACCGTACGTGAACTGCACCACGGAACCTTCCGAGTTGCGCACCGTTTGGTCGTATTGGCACGACAGATCCTCCAGCGCCTTCATCAAACGACGAGCCATGTAGCCCGTCTCCGCCGTCTTCACTGCAGTATCGACCAGCCCTTCACGTCCGCCCATAGTATGGAAGAAGAACTCGGTGGCTGTTAGTCCGCTGTAGAACGAGTTGGCGACGAAGCCCTTGGCACTGGCATGCAGAGCGTGCGGCAGGAAATGCGGCAGCGTGCGGTTCACAAAGCCCTCGGGCACACGCTTGCCACCAACAGATTGCTGACCCACACACGCCATCATCTGCGAGATATTAAGAGCGCTACCCTTCGAACCACACTCAGCCATGATACGCGGGTTGTTGTGGAACGGTAGCGTGCGCATACACTCGGCACCGGCAGTCTCACGTAGCTTACCGAGCAGCCCGTTGAGTTCGCTCTCGAGTGATTGAATAGCATTGCAGCCAGGCTTCAACGACAGTTTGCCACGTCGGTATTCCTCAATCGAGTTGTTGGCAGCGTCGTAACCAGCTTGCAGAAGCTTCTGCTTCTCCTTCGACAGCTCTTCGGACGGCGTCACATCGTCAATACCGATCGAGAAGCCCTTAAAGTTGCCCAGCCAACGCGCACAGAGCTTCGCCAGACGATTCATGCATCGCGCAGCCTCGTGGGACCCATGATCCCGAATCAAGACGTAGAAAAGACCCTGTTTACTGCCGTCGCCCAGCGTCTTCTTGCCCAAGTTCCCGCAAATGAGCTCGCTGTTCCGGAAGCACACGTAGCCATCTTTCCAGCACATGAACTTGTTGCTCGTGTAGTTGCGTTCCTTCAGCTCCAGATTCGCCAGCACCTTCGTCTGCGCGTTCGGCTTGACCAAGAGACTGATCACCTGCTTCCCCGTCCACAGACGCACTGGCAGGACAATCGCCGGAGGAGGCAACTCGATGTGTTCGTTCGCGTCGCTCATGATCGATATCACCTGGCAGAACTGCTCGCGATTGAAGAAAATGTTCTTCTGGGTCAGCAGATACGACGCAGTGAGGAAATCCTGCGTGGCTGCGACGAGCGGCTCGCCGTTTCGAGGCGTGATGAGGTTCTGCTCCACGCCCATGAGCGTAATCGCCTCTGTACGAGCCTCCTCTGTCTGCGGGAGATGCATATTCATTTCGTCGCCGTCGAAGTCGGCGTTGTACGGCGAACACACGCACTCGTTGAAGCGGAACGTACGCCACGGCATGACCTTGACACGATGCGACATGATGGACATCTTGTGGAGCGAAGGCTGGCGGTTGAACAGCACAATGTCGCCGTCTTCCATGTGTCGCTCCACGATGTCCCCGATCTTGAGCTCATCGGCCAAGCTGGCGCGATCGCCGTACAGCAAGTTCTTCGTGAACTTCTGTCCTTCGATGCGGATCACATTGGCGCCCGGGTGGACGTGCGGTCCGTTCACGACGCATTTGCGCAGCTTCTCGATGTTGTAGCGCGTCACCTTCTCCGGGTACGTCATCGTCTTGGCCACGTGTTCCGGAACACCCACCTGGTCAATCCGAAGGTTCGGATCCGGCGAGATGACGGTACGACCAGAGAAATCCACACGCTTGCCCGACAAATTGCCACGGAACCGACCTTGCTTGCCCTTGAGACGTTGACAGAGCCCGCGGATGCCGGTCTTCGCTCCAGGAGGCTTCACAAGGCCTGGGGTGTCGCCATTCATAAGCTGCGCCACCTGAATCTGCAGGAAATCCCAGTCCTCCATCACCATCTTCAAGGACGCGCCCTTCTGCAGAGCGGCACGTAGCGCAAAGTTCACCTGCACGATCTCCTGGAGCTTCACGGTGATGTCGTCCTCGTTACTGCCCGTTCCGCCGTCCATAGCCACAGACGGACGGATGCACACAGGCGGCACCAGAACCGAGTTCAGGAGCAGCTTTTCCGGTCGTCCGCCGTCCGCGTCCACCCACAGCAACTCGCAGTCTTGATCCGGGATCTCCTTGAACAGCTGCTGCACCACAAGCGGGCTCAGATCTTCCTGCGCCTTGGGCAGGTGTGCGCCGATCTCCGGGTTATTAGCCTGCGCCTCGGCGAACTGAGCCACAAACACGTTCCTCAAGTCGTGCGTGGCCTTGGCGCGGTATTTCTCGTGCACCAGCTTCAACGTGGTGCTTGTGATCTTGCGCACGGTGCCGTTAATGGCGTCGCAGTGCGGACATTTGACTGTCTTCTTGCACAACGTCGCAATCTTTTTACGAAGCCCCACGAGACGCAACACGTCGGCTTTGGGGTCTCTCATTCGTCTGAGGAAAAGTTCTCTTTCAGTCGGTGGCAGTAGCACGCGGCTGCAGCACTTGCAGATATTCTGGAGAATCTCCGTGATGGCCTTAAAGTAGCCGATGTGGAACACCGGAAGCTCCAGTTTAATGTAGCCAAAGTGACCCACACAGTCTGCCAGCTTGAGATGGCACGTTTCGCATGTGTCCTTCTTGTTGGACACGCCCAGTCGCTTGTCCAACACGCCGTTGCCTTGGGGCTCGCGCGTCTGCACCTTGAAAAGGTCTTTGGACTGGACACGCAGCTCCGACATGCGCATCATGTCCACATCCGACAGAAGACCGAAGTTCAGGTGACTGATCTTGGCAGGACGGTCATTCTCCAGCACGAGCTGCTTCACCAGCGGATTGCGCCGCTCGCCACGCCCGCCCACGCGACCGCTCTGCATGACTCGGAATTGGCTGAATGGTGCTGAGGATTATTGGTTGATGGAGAATGGGTACATGGTGCCGGTTCCGGCAACTGGTACCGGTATTCTTGAAACTGTGATCTTTTATACTCAGGGATTACAAAAAAAAACTTGAAGTGTCGATAGTTTTGTAGGCTGCTACAGCACTGTGAAGCTGATAATCAATAGCGATTCGAGTGATCAGATCTCATCTGTGGCTCAGTCGAATCCAAGATATCTACGCCAGTACAAGAAAGTGTACGGTAACATGGACATCCCGCGACAGTTTGTTGTGCCGGTGGTTGGGCTTCTGCATAGATTACCATTCACTTTTTGTTAAGTTAAGTGACTGACGTTACTGTAAATTGTGGCACGGGTGCGGCTCTGCTGTCGTGTGTTATTTGTGGTTGTCCTTCTCCCGTGTTCCTGTGAGAAGTGTTTCAGTGTCGACAACATCGGTATATTCAGTTCAAGTACTGAAGTTCGGTATTTAGCACTTTTCGTGCAATTATTATAGCATAGCAGCAGCCATCCACCATTTTACCGACAGAGCTTCCACATTGATGTTGTCATCTTTGAGTATGACTGGCAAATTGCCAGTTGGCAATATGAAAAATACGAGTATCGAATCGATTTTCGTATTTTTTTATTTACTACGATGGATCTTGCTTGGTACTAGATAAGTTAAAGCACTTCTCGAAGTACTTTTTAAATCTGAGTAAATCATTAGACAGCGAAAACGACAGCATCGTCCCTCAGCTCTTTGTAGCTATCTACCACGGGCTAGCGTTACCGATCTTCTGCATGAAATTTCCTTCATTCATCGGCACATTGGCGCTTCCGAAGCTCACGGTGTTGAGTGAGCGGCGCGCAGCGTCCGTCATCTGGTCCCACATGATGAGTGGTTGTGTTTCTCCGCCCTTGTCCGTACTGTCCAGCGCGTGGTTGACAGGCCAGTTGCTCTCGTAGTTGACTTTGGCGGTGTTACCGGTGCGGTTCCTGCCTTTGGGGGTGCGTACTTGGAGTACCCACTGTGAGCGGACGGCGTGACGGCGAGGATCTTCGGATTGGCAACATCAGGATTGTCAATCCACACGATGGCGGTGGCCCAGACCCGTGGACGGTGAGTCCTTTGGGAAGTACCATTAGTACATGATGGCCCATCGTCCTTTGTGCCAGGTAGAGCGACCGTAGACTTGCGATCCTTAACCAGATCCCTTGCAACCCGCGCTAGGCGCACCACTTGTGGCCAAGCCGCCGCTCGTCTCTCCGGCCGCGTTCACAGCAGGGTACGGGTGACATCCGTTAGAGATGTGGAGTTGGGGCTTGAATTTGACGGCCGCTTTCTCGGAGATAGACACAGGTGAAGGCTGACCGAACGGACGGACTTGGTCATGGTTGAGGGCACCGACGTCGGTAGCAGCAAGTGCGGCTACGATTGTCACGAAGAAAATGCGAAGATTCATCGTTCTAGGAGCCGATCAATTTTGTGCGTAGTTGGTGTCTTCGGGACTTGGAGATAGAATTGGAAATGAGACCATAGCATTTCAACTTGGAAGAAGCAATAGGCCATGCAGCTCTACTGCAAAACTGCGTTGCTACTTCCGCTAGACGAGATTGAGCATCACCACGTGGAAGCGAATGCCTCCACTGCACTTTGGAGACTGTGATAGTATAGAGTGCATGTGCAACACACTCAGTACATCGTTCCACTTGATCATGTTGAAGATAACGCTAGTCGCACTGCGTCCATAGAGGAGCCACTTGTGGACCACACACCACAAGTTGCGGCTAAGCGTGTCGAACAGATAATTAACAAAGTGAATTTGCGGGTATCATGACTCAAGAAATTTGAAGCGACGGCAGCAAGTATTGGAGTTGCCAGCTCTGTTAATCTATTAATTGTGGCTGTCAGAGGTGACGAATTGAAATATGTGAACCTTCCTTACGATTTATAGGGAACTCTGCAACGCCGAGTTGATCACTACCAGGTTGTGATTGAAGCTTTGTGATTTCTACATGTAGTTCAATAACGCGAGTTGTGCGCTCGATAGACTTTTGGTAATGGACTAACAGCAAAGGTTGATTCTACTGTAGCAACTGCTTAGTCACAGTACCACAGTGTGGTCCATATTCAGTGAAACTCTTTTGTACAGACAGGTCGAAAGAACTCGACTACCTCGAACCGTAAAAACGTAAAATGAATTGCTTCCTGGGCTACTGCATTTTGATACCGACCTTTAAATATTTTCATAACTAATGTTTTGTCTATAAGGGCCTTATGTCTGGGAATAAAATGCGAGCGATTCTATTGGCTAAACCAGAATTGGCCAGACACCGACGGAAAAATCAGGGCATTCAAGATTAAAGTATTTTTTTTCTCGATCAAGTACTCCTTTTAAAAATGACAAGTAACCGATCCTAAAGTCAAAAGTAGCCGATTTTAAATTTTCAACCAATTCGCTAGAAATACTGTAGTGCAAAACAGAATTCGGTATTAAAAAGGTCGCGGCTTTTCTCTCGCCGATTCGCGGTACTCGTTTTGATCCAGACCGACTTGCGTTAGTCAAGCATGTTATTAATAGGGTCGGCTCTCATTTTGCTAATGTTTGCTAGTTCATGGACCATTAATTACCGATGCTGACACCATCTTCCGTTTAGATCTAGACTTTAGCGGAATTCAGAATTCGCTCTTGACAAAGGGCAGAGACCTTTATTATTTGACTTGCAACTTAAACTCAAAAGAGAAAAGCTACTATTAGTCATACGAACCTACTTCTTCTTCATTTGATAATATATTAAAAATCTGGAAAAAGTAAACAAAATGAAACTTTGTAACGTTAATTTTGAACATTTTGTTACATTTGATCGGCTTTGGTGTCCAAACTCTCAGTACTAGTAGATCCGCCTTCATTATACATTCGAAATTCTATTCCGTTGCGAGCTATAGAGCGCTGAATCTAAGACAGCGGAATGAACTCCTCGCAGACAAGTGCATTTTCCTTAGCTTAGGTAGCATCGTTAGATAGGAGAGCCTCTACGTGTTGAATTTGGACGAATGCTAGAAGCTCGATCTCGATATGCATACTAGAGTTTGCGTTTCCTTTTCATGTTTCCGTGTTGGTAAAATTGTTTGCGGGTCATATGCGAACCAGGTCAAACTTTGGGCCTACCGTCAGATATCTCATTTGTCATGACGAAGAATCAGACGCATTCACAGACTAGGAGTTTCAAGATATGGAAACGTATATTTCGGAATAGATAGCAACCAGACGCAACGGCAGCAAGAGCAGCACGACTGCAGTTCGCGTCTTCGTTTGCCAACTCGAACCGTCCAAGAATCTACCCCTCTGTCCGTGACAATGCCGTCGCCTCCGTCCCCCGCGATCGCTGTCGAGGCCAACCCCACCCCCTCGGAAACGCCTTCTCCCCAGCCCGGGCTGACGCCTGCGGTAACTGCCCCGACTTCTCCTCCCACCGAGCTGCTTCCGGCCCCAGCGGTGTCTCTGGCCCAGGTCGCCCCGCCATCCTCGGCTCAGTCATCATCGACCCCGGTGCCAGGATCGCCATCGACAGGTTTCGCAACGGCCTCGCTCGCGCCAGCAGCCGGTTCACCGGACGCGCGCGTCCGTGCGAGTACGCGCGTAAAGAGGAGGAAGAGTGCGGCGACTAACGCGGAGGCGCGGCGCCTGAAGAAGCGTCTCGTAGTCGACAAGGAGGAGGCCGCAGCACAGGCAGCGCGAGCATCCGCCGTGGCACTCGGCACCCCGTCAGCGCCGACGATCAATCCCCTTCGGATCCGTTCGCAGCCCGCGGTGATGACTACACCTCCAGCCCCCCCCCCCCGCCTGCTCAGCACACACCTTCCCCGTCGGCTCGGTCATACCCGAGCGACGTCCTGCGGTCCCGGTGCCGCCCCTAGCACCCATGCGTTCGGCTACAGGAGCAACAGCGGTCAGCGATCGCCAGATCACCGCCCTCGGGCTCCATCCCGAGCCATCCAGCGATCCAACTCCTGCTAGCGCACCTCATCCTTGCCTGGAGCCCGTCCAGCATGGGCACGCCGGCGCCGGTCAGCGGCCCGCCGCCTAGTCAGGCCTTGCCTAATCGCCCATCGTCGCCCAATCCCAGCGACACCTTAACCGCGACGGTGGACCCGAACGCTGCCCGCTCTACGACCTTCGGCACCGGACCAGCGCTCTCTCAACGTGAGCCATTCGACCTAGCCAATTTTCTCAGCATATTCAACGCAAGCTCCAACTAGGCCACTCCTAGCGCCCCCTCCCTCTACGTGCGGCCGGACGAGGCTCCAGTTGTCCAGCAAAGTAACCGCCCAGCAGATCCCCAGTCCGGCACAGCTCCCGTTCCAGATGAGTCCCTACACTTAACACACGATCCAACCTCATTGTTCTCGGCATTTCTGCAGTTCCTTCAAGCCCGTCCGTGAAGAACAGTGCATGAGCCTTCAGCCATCACCACCGTCACCACAGCCGTTGGAACCGTGCAGATACCTTCCCCTTGGACATTCGTCAACCTCCCGGCCTACTACCGCCCGAAGCCGTGTGCGGCCTGCGCGCGGCCAAGTTACCACCCTCGGCGCTGCGCGCCAGAGGAGACTTCGTACCTTTAGCCGTCCATAGCCTTGCCTCTCACCGGGCATACGCTTTCTGGTAGACACCAGCCGGTGAGCACGAGACACCAACTTCGTTTGTCTTACGCATGCGCATGTTAGAATGCGTGCACTTCGACGACCACCTAACGATTATCGGGGCTACCGCCCGGCTTCGCTTTGGCCGACACGGAGCGTCCATTATGCACTATTGCCGCGCCGACTCTGCAACTCAGCTCGAAGCTGGGTCATCCGACACTAATCTCACCCTTGACTTCGGCTCTAACGCCGCACCGCCTCCGCCCCCATCATGCAATACGTACTTCGACCTGCTTGGAGAGGTGCAAGGTCTGCTCACCTTTGCGCACGCCGAATGGCACGAGATATTCAC